GTGTGCATGTGTTTGGTGCTGTGTGTGTGTGTGTGTGTGTGTGTGTGTGGTGTGTGTGTTGTGTGTGGTGTGTGTTGTGCATGTGTGTGTTTGTGTGTGTGTGGTGTGTGTTTGGCGTGTATGTGTGTTTGTGTTTGTTGTGTAGAGAGAAGAGAGAGAGAGAGAGAGAGAAGAGAATGTTACAATCCTAAACAGAACTTTAAATCATCTTGATTCTAACGGTCCTAAACACAGATAATAACCGAGAAATGATTGAATTTTTTTTCAGAGGTAAACAAATAAATGCATATGGCACAGTCACGAGCAATTTTTAGTCCTGTACAATATATCATACTTAAGTTGACATTTGTTTTTAAAGGTGATCAACCTGTGGTGACATCACTGGAAAGCGCGGGGTTCTTACAGTGCGAAGAAAGTTTCTCCCAAAACGAGTCTCGTCTTATAACTTCCCTGTATCCCCAGCGAACGGGATCGCATTTTTCAGACAAATCTACTTTACAAACTATCTAAAAATTGAGTTGGCCGGCTACGTAACACCGAACTCAAAAGGCGGAAGTTACCGTCGTCAGGGAACCGTATTCTGCGCGTTTTTCTGAAGAACATATAATCGAAACCGGTCAAATACGTCACTTGCACCATAAAGATATTAATTGTCATCCATATCTTTCCGCTTCGTGTTTTTCTTAACATGTATTGAAAAAAAAATCAATACATCGAGACATTTGTTAATATCATTGAATTGCAACATAAGTCGTCTTCTCTTTAATTAATTTCTTATTTGTGACTATTATTTGCTCTTTAGGCGTTTCATATGCTGTAGAAAATAGTGAAGGTACAGTTCAAACAGTGATTTTTTTTATTACATACGAAAAGAGGATACTATATTTTTTTATTCTGTGAAGGCTGCCTTATAAAGTTTATTTTTTGACAGAAATTCACACATTAATTGTCTTGTTATTATGCAAAATGAAAGCAAAGATCGTTCATATGAAATATGAATATATGGAAATGTCGTAGATTGTTCGCTGGGTGTTAATGGCATCAATATGAAGCTTTCTTTTTAGTAAACAGAGACACATAATGGCGTCTGTTTTGGAATGCTTAGGGTCAATTTCATATACGCACAAGAGACCCATTTGTTATTAAGAAATTGTAGGATTCATGTGCTGTGTATTTGTTATTACTTTTTACTACTTTCACACTAGTTGTATGGTTTATTGGGAAATGTAAAACATGACTTTCAGGTTAATAATTCAGTTGCTTTTAGCTAATTTATTTGTGCCTGCATGTCGTCGAACGAACAAAGAGGGCGAGTCTGCTTTGGAATTTAATGTGTTATTAAATAATAAAATGCATTTCAGCTTATGAAAACATTTCTGCTTGATTTTCATTTCGCACGAGATTTGGCAGAGTTGCCTGTGACAGTTCTCCATTAAAACAGGAATGTTTGTAATATCACAGATAGAACCAAGCTGGAAAAGACAACTGCGTGCGTGTGTGTGTGTGTGTGTGTGTGTGTGTGTGTGTGTGTGTGTGTGTGTGTGGTGTGTGTGTGTGTGTGTGTTGTGTGTGTGTAGTGTGTGGTGGTGTGCGTGCTAGCCATATCATCATACACCAGGGAAAGCAAATTTGCTTCCACCGGTGTATGCTAATTCCACCCGATATTGCTTTGATAAGCTTTGTGCTTGGTGTGCACATCAGTCCATCAGGGACTCATCAACACCAGAAAAATATCTGAGCAGAAATAGACTAGCTATTTCCTACGTTATTGAATGACAATAAGGGGGATGTTTCACGGGTGTATCAGAGTAAGTTCATATTTTAACTTTCCTGCCATCACTAGATATATCCTGTAAATACAAGGAATTGCTCAAATATGTAATTAAGTTAACCAGTTAAATTGTATATTTAGGCAACATTTAGCGCAAAGCAACAACAAAACAAGTTCACTCTCCTATTTCTCGCATGAACAAATGGTGAGAGCATTTAAATTTGGCAAGAGTTCATATAATCAAATCTATTCTGTATGTAATGAACTCCATTTGGAAAATATGAAAATGGTGTGTATGTATTTGGTGATTATCTTTACGTGCCTCATAATAACGACATTTATTTTTTTTTTTGTATGCAAAATCACTTGCAAAGATTTTAATTGCAATTTTGCCGAGTTAACAGTTTACATTTTATTTTGCATCAACTCTGTGAGAATCTGGATATGCTGACAACGATATTAAAACCAAACCTGACCTCTTATTTTGCACCTCAAAGAGATACTAACATTACTATCTCGATAAAACAGAAATACATAGAATGAAAAGAAAATGGAATAATTACAATGAGTGGATTACAGTTTATTAAGTGTACATTGTAAGGAATAAATAAAAATAAAAATATAAATTCTGCAATGATACCAATTATTCAATAAAAATACGTTTAAATGTCAACACAAACAAACAATTTGAAATTAATAACTATAGAGATTGGTCTGTGTTATAGTTACTTGTTTAAACTAAATCACTGTTAATAGAATCGATGAATAGGCAAATAGTGTAAATAATTCGAAAACGTTGAAATTAGTGCAGATGATTAATGTACATATGTGCAAACACAATATATATTTATGCACCCCAATATATAGTATGAAGTACGTCCCCCTGACGGCAATCAACACTGCAAGAGAAGTATAATGGAGTCGCACCAACGATGTGTTGGTCGGATGCGCGTCGCGATTTTCACACAGTAAATATGCATTCATATGTATCGAAATGTCGGGCTTTGGCAAATGATGTTAAATTTCAGTGTACCAAGTGGTCGTGTTCAGTTATGAAAGTAAATGTCGACACAAGAAAGTGGTAATGAGTCTGAGGTGAGCGTAGCAAAGGGCCCCTCCCGCCTTCAATCAGAGCACGAGATGGTTAAGCATATGAGATAAGAAGAGTCAGCGGGAAAAAAGCGGCAGCCCGGAGTGCCTCGGGTCACGTGGGCGAGTGGCTTGGCCGTGCAAGACCCGTAATAAGACCCCACCCCCCCCCATGGATTCCATCCATATTGCCCTGTCCTCTAACACTTGGCATCCCACAGGCTCCCACCCGGCCAAAGGGCTGCCATACGAGCCGGTAGAAGAAAACGTGGACCGTCAAGGTTATATTTTTGGTAGCATTCCTTAGTTTGATGGTTAGTTGGATAACAAAAAGTTATATTTTTTTTTTTATGAAATGTTTGTGTCTTAGCCCAACTTAGATTCCATTCATGATACGGATCCAGTTGTTAGCGTTAGCATCGGGATATAGGGATAACTTTAACTTTTTTGCGCACTCTAGACATTGTATGCACAGACATCACCAGAGTATAAGAGAAAGAGGTGATTTAATATAATTCTTCAAGTGTGAAAATTTTTATTGCATCAGTGTCCCTATTGCCTTGACGGAGGTATGCACTAAGTGCTTTTGATTATAGTCTTGGTGTTCCACTGAATTTCCAGGTTCCCCCCTAGTTTAATTTTATATTTATTATCCCTGTTATTATTATTATTCATTATTATTTATTATTATTATTCATTATTATTATTATTATTATATTATTATTATTATTATTTATTATTATTATCAATCATCATACATCATTATCATCAATCATACATCATAATCATCATCATCATCATCATCATCATCATCATCATCATCCTTCATCATTCATCATCATCACAATCATCATCATCATCATCATCATTCATTCATATCCATCATCATTCATCACATCAAATCAATCCTTATTAATGCTTATGGTTATGTAATGTTATCGTTATTGGTGTTATCATCATTATTGTTATCATTATTATTATTGTTGTAATTATCATTATTATCATAATTAATTATTTCGTTATTAGTATTACTATTGTTATTATCAATATGTTATAATTATTGTTATCATCATTATTATTATAATTATTGTTATCATCATTATCATTATTATTATTATTATCATTATCATTGTTATTATGATCATGATTATCGTTCGTGTCATAATTATTGATATTATTGTAAATAGCATAATTGATATCATTATTATTTTTATCATTATAATTATCATTGATATTATCATAATAGAGCTATGATTATTACTATTGCTGCTATTTTTTGTTGTTGTTTTCTATTATTTGTTGTTGTCATTATCATTATGTATGCCATCGTCATCATTACTATTGCTATCTGATATTCAATTTTTTATCATTATCTATCATAATTGTCACCTCTTATCAATTATGATTATGTGTTATTACTGCCATTACATTCATATCATTATTGTTATTATTGCCAGTATTATTATTATTGTTATTATTATTATTGCCACTAATATAATTTTTATCATTGCTTTTATTATTGGTATTACTCTCATAATTATCATATTTGCCATTATCATTATTACTATTGTTATTATCACTATCATTATTATTGCCGTTATCACTAATGTTATTGTCACTATTATCATTACTATTCTTCTTCTTTTAAATTCTTCTACATTTTCCTAATATTTCTTACGCCCCGTGAGACAGGATATCTCAAGATCCGGGATGAAGTCATGTTTATTATCCTGTTTACGAGAGATCTCATCGCAACAACAAGGGTCTTTTCGCTTCTTGTGGGGGTGTAAGAAAGGTAGAGATTGAGAAAGATACACACACACACACACATACACACACACACACACACACACACACACACAGGGAGATAGAGAGAGAGCGAGAGAGAGATAGACTGATAGATAGATAGATAGAGAGAGAGAGAGAGAGCAGAGGCAGGAGGTGAGGGAAAATATGAAAGGAGAGGAGAGGAGATACAATCGTAGAACATACAGTCAGAAAATATATTTCAAATTCGTACTCCCTAATGTACTCCAAAAATCGTAAGATACCGCTGAAAGAATAAAGCCATATATATCACATTTCTTGTTGCTTTATGCTCCGCCCACGTCTTCTCCCTGGCCAATGCTCCGCCCACCGC